GGACTAGATTAAAGCTGTGTAGTCGCCTAGGTTGCTGCAGAAAAAAAAATCAGATTAAGTTTCATAGCATGTCAATAAATACTTAGGTATGGTGCATTACGCAAGATTTTCTCAAATAATAAACCATAGAATTCTGTTAATCTAAACACTTGTGCAACAATTCTACTTTGGCCACACTGTTGTAAATGAACGTGACATCCTCTCAATACAGTATAAATATTGGCCAGTTGAATATGGAGCCAGCAGGGGGCATCAGTCCTGCTGTTAAGTGTAGGGATTGCGTCATACAACTTTTTCATGTCCGATACTGATAATGTTACTTGAAATATCTGCATGTACTTATATCAATCCAACACCTTCTCTCCACCTCTGGCTTGCCCTTGCTGAGACGATAGTGTCCCTGTTCACAGCATGTCGAACAAAGTTAAGTGTTTGGGCTGAGGTATTGGATCAGGCGGACTGTCGTTGATTTGTTCGAAATTCAACCCTGATATTTTGACAAATTCTGAGTGTTGGCTTCAGACCTCAGTTAAATATAATCTAAAAAGAAATAGTGTTAGCTGGTTTAGCTAGGGCTCACCTAGGATTAGCTAGCACGTGTCTGTCATAATCAGCATTCCTTTAGGATCTTGAACAACCATTTTAAACGTATTACTTTTAACGGACAGTATATCTGTGGCATCATTGAGAATTGAAGGTAGCCTTGTCCTTTGAATAGGATTAGCTTGAACACACACCATCTTGCAGCCATGTGACAAAGGGAAAAATACAATTTCAAAATAAAATAGTTTTGGCAAAGTAAAACAAAAGAAAAAAGCCTGTAGTCAATAATATATATATATATGTATATTAAAGGTTTTGAATGAATAATATTCTCTGTTTCATGGCCTCAAATGATGGCGGTTTGACAAGCCACCATTTAAAAATGTGAAGATCTTCCGTCTTGAAATTTCTTTTTTTTTTTTTTTTGAAATATTTGTCCTTCACGCTTTACAAATTAATTTGTGAACAAGACAAAGACGCTGAAAGGCTTTTGCAGTGAGTTTAACAAACTCACCTCAAATACTAGCTTTAGAAAGAAACAGTGGCTTTTTCCCAAGTGGGAGATGTTCTGCTTTCTGTTGATAAACAGCCATAAGTTTACAACAGTTTTTAAAATAATTATTAGAAAATAAATAAATAATAATAATATGTTGTACTTTGTTCTCTGAAGGTTTTTTTTTTTTTTGCCTTAAACTTGCTGCTTCTCCTAGGTAGATATTAAAATAGTGAATTAGCATCATTTATTGATACTTTGTTACACAGATCATATTGAAAAGACAAAAAGGAAGTCACGAACTACAGCGCTGGTTGACGCCTAAATCCAACACTCTGAAGACATTGTGTGTGTTTCATTTGTGCCTCTCCCAAACACATTCTTCAATCCTGTCCCTGAAGTGGCAATTTGTGGACTGCTCTGCCTATAATCCCCATTCTTTAGCTTTAAGGATTCCCGAAACTGCTGCTTGTCGAGATCCTTTTGGTAACAATTTTATATAGAAGTCTTGTATTTTCTTCTTGTGTTTTTTTTTTTTAAGTAAAAAGCCATTTGCAAACTTACACAAGAATTTAAATGCAGAGAAAGGGCCTTGACTGCAGCACCACTCAGACTTAATAACGTACCAACAATACAATTTTGAAAAAAATAGTCATTTGAACTGGAAACCTGATGGTGTTACGACTCAAAGAACCACAGAGGACCATTAACGTTAGCAGTAAATCAGAGATTTCTTATTTGTCCCTTGAAGACCAAGCTTGACAAGTTTTGTGTAAAAGACCACTCTTTTGAAGTCCTACCAGCTCTGAGACAAAAAGACCAGAAGTGACATCAAAGTTTAGAAAACAAACACATTGGGAACTTCTACTTCCATTTCTGTTTTCTTAAAAATGACTCTCATCAACCTTCACCATGTGTTGGCTAAAATACACCCTTCACATTTACCAAACAAGTCTTTATCCTGTGATCCTCCACTGATTAAATAGCTGAAACCATGGGGAAAAACATGCAAAATCATACATTGAACCTCTTAACTGTGTGAGAACATCTGGCGAGAAATTGAGGTTTACCTCCGTAGTAGCAATTCTACGTACCAGGAGCGTCACTGAACAGCTGTTCTGGACACATGCAGGGATAGGGCAGTGACTGCCTCAACCACCGAACAAGGTTTTATCTCTCAGTGGATACATTCATCTTTACGTGTCCTGTATCCTGTCACATGTTCTTGATAAGATGCATGGACGTTCTGATCAGTCTGAGCTGCACACAGAGAACCATGCTAATGGACGCAGACCACACGGCACAATATCAGCCAGACTTTGCCTGACTGATGTAAGACGTCACATGGGCTCAGGGATGATCAATGTGCACAGCAGGCAACAATCAATTGTTTTATCTGGTGTGGTGTATCTTAATGGACGGCAACAGATGCTGCATGTGGAATATTACCCTACAGAAACACAAGTATGTTTGATTTGTTTTGTTTTTTTTCTTTTCCCCCCCTAACCTTGGGTAGATTGTGATTCACTCAGGCAGTGGGGAGAAAAGCGATTGATGGGACTCTGCCTAAAGAGAGGAATTGATTCTCCAGGATAAACATGGCTAAATGGAAAAGGGGAAATGATGCAATTGACAGTCATTTCAGAATGTTCCAGACTGGTCCGTATTTTATGTCATTTTCGCAATGTAAAAACGTGGTTTTAGTCAATTAGGAGGAAACTATTTGTTTGGTTTTCACAGTGCTTGCCTATTTTGTGTTTCCATATTCAGTGGCGGTCTCTGGGTGGGTTGGGACGGTGTGGGATCGTTGTATAATCTGGTTTCTGGTTCTGTTTATATTTATTACCTGTTACAATTTAAATATAAAACGGGGGAAAAGGCATAAAAAAAAAACATGCATCAAGGAGTCAACAACCTCCGCAAGTAACGCCCAAATACGTAACCCTCATATATTTATCATCATTTACGCAATTCTGGGCAGGGTCGTGGGGGAGATGGAGCGTATCCCAGCTGTCAGTGGTCGAGGGCGGGTTTTAGTTCTTCACAGTTCATCACAGAGCTACATATAGACGTAAACAACCATTCACACACACACATGTTTGTGCCTAATTTACATATTTTCTGGGCCTGAGAAGAAAACCCATGCACAGTTGGAGGCCAACCGTGCCAACTCCATAGATACATTTGGAGTCCAAACAGAGGGTCTGGCTGTGAGCAGTGAGACGACAAGTGATCTTGTAGTTGTGAAGTCATGCTCTCTAACAACACTTTGTTGTTGTTGTTGTTTTTTTTGTAAATAGTTGGAAGGTGTGTTAGACACACGCGTCACGCAGAGTTATTGTCGTCGTGTGGCTCATCTCAACTCGCATAATGTAATCATGTCAAGAGCCATTGGTGTAGCCCATATTCACAGAACACACTCTGCCTGTGAATGAACGACTCTGACTCTGCCGTAGTCGTTTCCAGCACCGATGCCACGAGCATCAATGTAATCTAAAAATAAAAACAAAGTTGAGCAGCGATTTGGACGCTTAGTATAAACACCACATTTGTGAAGCGGTATGGATTAAAAACGCTACTGTTTGCAGTTATGCTAATGATCAAAAAGTACTGTTTTATTCAAATAAGAACATCCTTAATGTAAAGTGTTGATTTAAGGACAACTGGGAAAGATTTTCTTCTCCCTGACAAGATGTCTGAGAGACGACGCTGAGCTGCCGCCTCGCAGTCATCGCCGCCACAAATAGAAAGGTCTGTGTTAGTAGTGAGAATGACTTCATTATCAACCTGTCAGCGCACGTACAATCTCCACTCATCTGATGCCAGGACCGGCAACATACTAAGAGAACCGAATCCCAAAGTCACGGGCCTTATGGTGCGTTCACGTCGGCATTAAACGAAGCAGATTAAAGAGCGGGAACATTTTTAACTTGCTTTGTCGAGACAATTAAACACAAATCAAGGACACTCACCCAGGGCTGGTGCTTTAGCTAATCATGTTCAGAGTGTGTAACCAACAGCCTGATTTAAGGAACTCACACATTCAACAAGCGCACAGATTCACTGCTTCTTTATGTTGGCCTGAGCAGATAGAAGTGTGACACCTGGAGAAACTGCTGTAGGGAGTTAACCCCTATAGGATAAATGTGATTTTGCAATTTGTTTATTACACATTTATTCAGCGTGGAGATTCAGAGGCTGTGTTGAATCAATCTTTACTCAACAATTAAAATCTGAGCACCAGAGATGATGGAGAAACTATATGTATATAAGTTGCTCATACGACTATTTGGCCGCTGGCTAAGAATTCTTAGTTTTGCACATAGTGACAAATATTCTGGCTGCACTTGAACATCATTTACAATTGCAGCGCTGCACTTCCTTTAAACCAGTGGTGCCCAACTTTTGTTGTACCAACGACAGGTCGGCCGCTGTCATCCATTAGTGCAGACCTGTAATACCACACCACCACTGAGTTTTTCAATTTAATTCAGTTAGTACCAGAGTCTGAATGACCTGTTGTTCTGAAACATTGTCACACGAATGAAAAAAAGTAAAGGGATATGACTGGATTCTTTTTGGATGAAGTAAATGAGTAAAACTCAAGTACATTTTTTCACTGTGTCCCACTGCGACCTGCTACCAAATTACTTATGGACCAGCACCGGTCCCCGAACCGGTGGTTGAGGACCCCTGCTTTAAAAAACGTACACGTGTCACATATGACTTTGTAGTGAGAAAGTTTTCATGATCAATGCCACTGCGATGATGGGAGGATACACATATACAGTATATACATATATATGTACTGTACATACATGTACATACAGTATGTGTACAGTAAGATGCTGCAGCTGCTTACTCCCTGTAGGTACTTTGCTTGTGTATTGCAGCGACCAGGCATCACAGTGCTCTTGTTCTTCCAATAAAGACAGAGAAAGAGAGAGAGAGGGGGGCGGGGGGTAGGGGGAGAGAAAGAGAGAGAGAGGAGAGGCAGAGGCAGAGGCAGTGGCTCACACACAGTGCAGGGAGTGTCGTCGTGGAAGCTGCTCGCTTCTCCAGCATCACTCTCCCTCTATGCCTCCACTCTGGAGGGTCAAGGAGGAAAAGGCTGTGTTTTCCCCGCTGCCACATCTGTCTTTCTCTCTGCGGACGCACGGATAAAACCAAGCACCTCCAACCTGGGAAAGATGTATTTTCTCCTGCATGTGGTTTCCCTCTGCACTCTGAGCGTCTTGCGCGGAGCCTCCGCGGCCACTCACTGTGAGTATTCCCACCTAGAAGCTGGCTCACCTGTGAGCTGCCGAGTGGATGCTGAGTTTTTGTTGCGGTGCTGGTGATGCTGGTGCTGATGTTGGAGCTGGGGCAGGTGATGGAGGAGGCGGGGGGGGAGGGGGGTAAACGAGGATGTTGATTTATTTATTTTTTCTGCTGCTGCTGCTGCTGCATGCGTTGAAGTTCTGTCTTATGGGTGATGTGCAAGTTGAGTCGGTGGAGATGCGCAGTGAAGGTCAAGCAAACAGGTTCATTTCTCTCCGCGCACAGACAGGTGCAGTCTGGAGAGCTGGCCCCGCAGCGCGCCTGTCACACACACACACACACACACACACACACACACACCTTTTGCATTATATGCGTGTGTGTATGTGTGTGTTTTCTCAGGCTTGGTGTTTGGACGCACTGATGAAGACAAACTGCTGAGTGGCCGCTGCTCAAGTGAGCAGGCGGCTCGGCTGCTCTTTTACGCAGCTCCATTCCTCTACGTGGAAAAACGACGCACGGCTTTTAGAGCGCGTTTGGAGTCATTCCCGTTTGTCCAGTTTAGGAATTGTGTGATGGCCGCGTGCTCGTCCTTTTCTGTGCACTGAGAGATCGATCAGCACTTATTGGGTGTTTGCCATCCGCTAATTGTTTTCGTCAACGCTGTGTTTGACTCTCAAAGTCCCGTTTTTTCCCCCGGAGCCGTGACGGTTCTGAGGAGACGCGATGGGGATTTATTTGTCCGTTCCAATAGACGGACAGAACACGTAAATATCGACTTTATTGACTGGATTATTGGCTGGAATTAGTCATGTTGACCAATAAAAAAAACGCACAGAATGCACACCAAGAAACGAATTTCTCCAAATCAGTGCATTATATTTAGTCTTTAAATTGAAATTAATACAGACGCCCGCATGTGTGAGACAATCATCACTACAGTTACTGCTTTTGAAAATAATAAAACACATAGTAAAAAGAATGCCATTTTTTATTTCAGAATAGCGCCGCCTATACTTCAAAAATCGCATTTAACAAAGCATAATACAACAAAACATAATTAAAATAAAAATCAGATTTTCACAAAGTTTAGTGTCTATTGGTCACTGCACATTTTTTGTAATAATGCATCCACATATACATACATATATTTATTTCCATAAAAGCTGTCAAGGTCCGATAAGACCTACCGAGGGACAAAATATGGTCCTCGAGCCGTATGTTTTTTCTTTGGAAACTATAGTAGCATTGTCTTATCCACAGTTTTTGAACTACAAGCCTTTGTATGAGAGGAAATAAACAAAATAATTTTCAGATTTATTGATGATATGGAACATGAGCATGATGAATATTTACTATATTTTGTTTTCAGAGTTTAGTGTTGGGATGTCCACAGTGAGGCTCGTGGACCACCCAAGTGACTTATCAGATCAGGCCGATTTTGTAACCACTGGGTTTTGCCCAAGCTTTTAATACAATGTCAGAATGTCCCAGTCTGCAGCCCACATTTGATAATTGATCTGTAATGTGCGACGTATAAAAGACCAACTTATATTTTAAGACAATATTAATATGTACTTTAGCGTGTACCCTTTGCCAGTAAATTTATAAATTTTACACATGTATTTTTTGTTGTGATTGTGATAAATCTTACACATGTATTTTTTGTTGTGATTGTACACACAGTAGTATGTGCTGTGCACAATCTGTGGGACCCGACCCTGTCCCTTAACAACATTCATGGACATTTCATCCGTCCTGACATTGTCAACAACATCAGAGATCCACAATGATATTTTTGGATGTTTGTGAGGATTACGGGGCTTTTGGCCGCAGACAGATGTGCAACCAGAGCTTTTCACTTAATGACCGTCAGAGAACTGTACTTCCTGCTGTCCTCGGAAACAGTTCCACCAATCAAAGGACAGACAGTGGGACGGACAGATGGGCACAGATCTGTGGATTTATTAGCAGGACGGCAGCTGGTGGGACCCTGTAAACAGGCGTCGGAGTGAGCCTTCGCTGTTGATTTCTCAGTAAAATGTCACATTCCATGAGACGCTCACTCTCTCATCTGGATTTCGGCGCGGAACGACAGAAGCACGTGCAGCTTCTGTGGCCTAATTGATTTAATTAATGGCTTATATTCCCTGGTCCCCCCCCTCCCCCCCCCCCCCTTCCGACGCGGGGCCGCCGTGCTTCCGGCGCGCAGCTGTGGAGCCAGAACATATGGAGCAATGTATAGTTTAAAAAAAAAGATTTTAAAATACAAGGTGAGAACAGACAAAAGACATGTACGGTCATGTAGCAGAGCAGCCTTTTATCAGCAGAGCAGGTTTCAGCATCCTGACATTTTTTATATGTTTTATTTTATACGTTCCCTTCCCCTGAGTGATGCCCCCAGGTGTCCTTGCTGCTGGTTAGATCTTCACCTTCACAAAACGATACAGCACCTGGAGAAGAAAGTTCACTGTCTGCTCCGGTGTGTTTTTGATAATAAATTACAGCACAATGTGCAGAATGTCCTCATAAAGATGAGTTATATTTACAAGGGACATGAGTACTTACTGTAAATTTGTACTTTATTGGCTTTAATTAAAATTTGGGGGAAAAAAAGTGCAGAAGAGTAGTTGCTATATTTTATATCACTTCTCACATTGGCTGTTAATTTGACTTTGTTTTAGTACTCTAATACTTTAGATTTCTAAACAACTACCTGGTCATGTTCAAGTGCTTTAAAGTTTATAAAAAAATACAGCAATAAATCACATTTTAAATAAAAATATTTTACAGCAATGCAGTGTTTCACTGAGTAAATGTGGCATTTTATTATGCATGGATATTTTCAAAATAAATAACCTTTAGGGCAAATATAAATAACATCTTTAAAATGTAGTTTTGCTTAAAAGGTAGAAATTGCTCTAGAAATGTTACTCCGTTCAATTGCAGAAGGAAGACTTTCTTTATAGCCCACTCTTGGGTCACAACCCGCTCTTTGAGACACACCCTTTCTGGGCACCTGTAATACCTGAAATTGAATTCCCAGGTTTTATTCAATTATAGAACATGAGAACAGAATGATGTTCTTTGGCTCCGTTCTTCACTGAGGAAGTCTATTTAAAACAATGACGTCATCCAAGGTGAAAACTGACGGATACAGAAGCCATTCTGTCTTTATTAGAGTCCAACCAATAGGAGAAACAGTCATCAGTTTAGATCATCTTTTATGGTTTTATTCCTTTTTTCCAGCATTGTTTCAAACTGATTCTCGAGTAATGAAGATTCCCAAAAAGTCTTTATTAGATTCCAGTGCCGTACTCAACTCCACTCAGTGTCTTAATTACAAAGGTAGCCTTTGTTAAACTTCAGTCTAATTCAAAAGCAATTAAGCGGCAAAAAATAATTATTTTAATACAATCTACTCCAACAGCTAATGAAAAAGTAATTAAACTATATTGACCACAATGTTTTTTTTTTAACATTCACTCAGCAGCTTGAACCCAATTTTATTTTTTAGTAGATCATTCTGAAGAGCGCAAAACCTCATTAATTACATTAGACATTGCCAATCTTCGTTGGTTTTCCCAAAGTTAAACATGTTGTTGTTTTTCTTTCTTTCTTTCTTTGTGCCGTTCACATTTAAAAACTAAATAAATGAAGGAGTGATTCTTCAGTGAACCCACGCACCAGAACTGCAGTATCGCTATCAAGCGTTTGTCTTCCAGGGGGCTAACGTGTGACACGGGGCTTGTGTCCGACGGTTCGAGCGCGTTTATGTTAAAGGTGAGCGACTGAGCCAAACTGACAGCCGCATTACTCATTCATGACAGTCCCGTGCTTCTCAAATGTGTGCTGTGATCAGCCCTGACGTGCTGCGCTGGGATGAAATGACGAGATGCTCCTGCAGGTCAGAAAGCTGCTCTCATATTTATCAGTGAGAAACAACAGGGAGAGGAATGGAGAAGTGGGAGGGCTGTGTCATGGTTGGTTTTTTAGTTTGTTTGACCTGTTTTGCAGGAGGCTGGTGCACTTTGCTTTCAGAGTTGCTTTTCTGCCTTCTGTGGCCTTACAAAGAAATAATGACAGTGTTGGATGCGTCAGCACTTAGTCCGTCATCTCTCAGCAGGAGTTAATTGATCCTGTATCGACGTGGCCTTTACGGGAATTTTTAAATCACTAGCAACACAAGAGCTACCAGTACAAAATGGTGCGTTTTTCTGTCCCTTCGTAATAACTTGATTACTACTGGAAGAAAGAAGTGTACATTGTTTATAATTGTGCTGAAATTAGCAGGAGGGTGAAATTATAGCCCAAGAATTAAACATAAATATATACACATATTGTTTCATACTACCTTCTGGCATTTGAGCCAGATATTTCTTGCACATTTTGGCAAATACTCTGGTTATGATTGAACATCTTTTTCTTTTGGATGACATGTGTGCAGCTCTGCTCATCCTGTAAACAACCACACGTGTCAGATATGAGACAGTCACGCCTGGTACTGAGAGACTGAGAGGCTGACTTTGTTGTGAGAAAGTATTAATTATCAGCCTGACAGCACACTTTGTTGCTGGGAACAGTTTTCTCCACACTTTTTTTTTTTTGACCGATTTGTCATTTCTGTCTTGTGGTCCAAAAATAGGGGGCGGGGCATGTAGCTATGGCATGTAGCTTTTTTTTTCTTGAGTTATTATTCACTGTTCATTTCTAATCACTAGAGAACTTTACAATTACAGGGGTCCACAATGAAACTCAATGTTTATCATAAGTCTGAACTCACATCTACTACATCACTACCTATGTCACTCACCTATCATCATAATCTAATAATCTAATCTAGTAACATCATAATCTAGGACATAAAAACATCAGAATAATCTGAGGGACTCCTGGGAGCCAAAATGAAGGGCAAAACATACCCAAAAATAACCCCAACACAAACGAAAGAAAGTGAATGTAGCACAATCCAGTGTATGGCGTACAACTGGCAAATCTGCGCA